GAGAGATGGGCGTGAAGAAGAGGTGGTGGGCGGCAGAGCCAGGAGGGACAACATGCCTGACTCAGAGCCTAACAGAAACCAGGGCACCCCGATCGACATCAGGCAGGGACCTGAGTGGGAAGCTTGTTTTTCCCCGCTCCTGCCTGCTCATTTTCCATTGCATCTCACGGGAAGCTTGGAGGGGACCCCAATCACAATGCCAATCACAATCTCGTTAGGTTTCGTTCCGCATTTGACTTTTCTCAATGTGCTACAGTGCCCACTGTCTCGGGTCCTGCAAAGGCACCCTACACATGAGTCAAGCGGGTCCCAAAGATCCTATTTTGTGGGGAAGGGAACTGAAGCAGGGAGCTTTACGAGGTTCACCCTTAGGTTCCCAGCAGGACCGAGCCTGGGGTCCAGACCTCTGCACGTCTAATCCAATTATGAAAATATGGAGATGAAATCAAGTGAGAACAGATTATATTGGTGAAAGTGGGCCAGGAAAATACAAACTTTGAAGACCAGATGGAAACCCCTTAGCTGAAGAATTCTTGGATGCTGCTTCTAAGGCGGCCCCCCACCCCCACCCCGTCTTCCTTCCAGCCCCGACCCTGACCCTGGCATTTTCTCTTTCTCTTTCAGGACCTCCTGTAAGTACTCAAGCTGCAGCCTGGTCACGTGCGTCTCAAAGACCTATATTCCTTGCTGGTAACTGGTCCTGGGTGGAGGGACTGACAGTCGGCCTCCACTGTTTTCTGCGGGGCCCTAGGCAAGATGGTTTCTGTGGGGTCCCTCCAGCATCTTTATACGAGAAATAACCAGTTGCCATCGACTCATCTCCAACTCCTGGCAACCCCGTGTGTGTCAGAGTAGAACTGTGATCCACAGAGTTTTCAGTAGCGGATTTTTCAGAAGTGGATTGCGAGGTCTTTCTTCCAAGGTGCCTCTGGGTGGCTAACCTTTCAGTTAGCAGCCGAGCGCCTTAACTGTTTGCATCACCCAGGGACTCCTTACACAGGAAAGGAGGCTGCCATTTGCCTTCCACCCACCTCTGGCCCACTCCAGGGTGAGACAATGACCACTCCCTGTACAAAGCAGGTCCTGAATTTCAGTCTGAAAGGCAGGCTGGCCTCATTGTTAGCCCAGCTTCTTTGTCCCATAAAGAAGCAACTGGAGTCAGAAAAGCACCAGAAAGAGATAATCTCTACTCAGTTCTGGTCCTTGAAACGCCTCCTTCCCAATCAGAAAGCAGGTCATTGTGCAGCTCTAAGTATGGGCTGCGCTAAAGGACTTCGTGTCCACATGTCCACAGCACTCCCTGGGCACGTGCATTCTGGCCTGGTCACTTTGGGCAGGTGGTGGTGGTGGCGATGGTTGTTGTTTTTATGCAAGAGAAAGCAATGTCAGCAGATTAGACTTGTAGACATCACATAAACTATAGCTCTTGTGTCACGCCTCCTTCCCTGGTGTCTCTCTGGGGCCCAGCGTGGGGTGGAGGAGCCTGATCATTTCCAAAGAACCTGAGAAGAGCCCAAGGAGACTGTCTCCCTGAAGTAATGAATCCAGAGAACAGGAGCACGTCTTCTTTGAGGGATAACATTTGATATCCCAACAAAAGACACAGAGGTCAGTGGGGGACTGGGGATTGGAATTTGAAAGGACTGAACCCTCCACATCAGATCTTTCTCAAGGAGGTGACTGACTCGGCAAGTCTATCGTGCCTTCCTTGGAGAAGTCATTTCCAGCGTTGTTCCCTTCTTGATCTGTACCTGGGGAGCGGCCTACCCGATTTTTAATCAGTCCCATTATTTAATATCCCATCTGTTCTCTGCAAGGTAAATGGAACCCAGGCCGGTACTGCTGCTCGGCTCCCTGACTGATAAGTCCCACTGAGAGAGGAAAATCATTCCATTCCTTGAAAGGAGGAGGAAGATTTATTGTGGCATGTTTGGGACGTCACGTCTCAATTCCTGTCATCAATCTTCCAAAATAAACTCTGCCATGGGGGACTTTGACAGACCCCGTGCTGGAGATGGGCTTCTTCCCCCGCCCCCTTGTCTTTTTTGACTAAGCCAAAAGATTCCTCACCTCCTCCACCCTGGAGCCTCCTCCCTACACCATGTCCCCACAGCCAAGCTGCTGGGCGGCCGGTGTAGTTAGCTCTGGGTCTCTTCTGGAGGTCTGGCCCTCTGCCACAGCCCTGCCTTTCTAGAGGGTCCTTCCTTCCCCAGGAAGGTGACCCCGAGACTATTCCCAGCCAGCCTGGAGACTGTGCAGAGGAGGAGCAAATGAAGAGATAGGACTGAGTCTCTCCTCAGAACCCTCACCGCCTGGTGATGGAGGGGGAGGAGCCCAGGTAGTTTCCCCCACATACTGAGCCTGACACAAGAGTCCTAGATTTTTGCCCAACTTTGGCTGAAACCCCAAGGCAGTGAGGGGAGGAAATGGGAAGCTCATCAAGGTGGGAATTGCCTCCTCAGCCCTATTCTCTCTGCTCCCTTAAAAAGAAAGATATGCTGTTGGCCAGAGGCTAAAAGGCAGGGATACAAGATGGCAACTGGCTGCAATGCCTGTCTGCTGTCCTCTGGCCAGGGGCCGTATCTGGGGTGGCTCTGTACTCTAGCCCGAGGACCCAGGTTCCCGTGGACAGAAGGACAGCCAGTGCCTATAGGAGACAACCATGGAGGATGGATTTTTGTTGCAACAGGAGCCATTTAAGTTGTAGCAAATATACGGCCACTTCTGCTCCACCCCTCATGTCTAGGGCAGACGTTGCTAATCACTTAGGAGGTTTCTCAACACAATGCCTTAGTCAGTCACTGCCAATCCACTGAGTTGGCATGCAAACTGACATCTGTCCCGGAGTTAGATTTAAGAGAGATTACGAGGACTGTGAGATTGAAACCCATAACCAAAGGAAGCAGGGCTATCTCTTTCCCTGGAGGAGTATAGGGAAATATTTGATGTGCAGCTGCCAGGCCTGGTCAAATGTGATCCTTGCTGAAGTAGTAGCTAACACTTAAGACGTGTTAGGCGCTTTTGAGTTTTTATGGAGGTAGTGGCTACAAGCATGAGCTCTGGAGCCAGACTGCCTGGGTCCAAAGCCTGGCTCTTTTGCTTCCTTGCTGTGTGACCTTGGGCAAGTTAATTATCCTCTCTGTGCCTCAGTTTCCTCATCTGGAAAATGGTAGTAGTGATAGTATAGTGTCTGCCTCATCTAGTTGTTGTGAAGAATATATATATATATATGCGTGTGTGTATATGTATATAATTTATATTTATATGTTAATATAGTTACATATTAATATATAAATATATATGTTATTTACAATGGAATGTATGAACTCATTTAAATCCAAGAAGCAGGGGTTTCCCCTGGATGGTCTCCAAAGTTTCTTCCAAGCCTTTAATTTTAAGGACAAAATGATTATTCTCTGACTTTTCATTAATTAATTAATTTATACTTTCATTTATTTCTACCCTACCTCATTCCAAGAAAGGTTTTGAGGTGATTTACAAGCTCAACAAGGTAAATATCTAAATAATGAGGACACAGTTGGGGGAGCATGGAGGGGCTAGTGCAGAGCAGAGGGGGACCCAAACCAAACCTGGCTGCCATCGAGTAGAACTGCCCCATAAGGCTTCCAAGGCTGTAACCTTTATGGAAACAGACTGCCACATCTTTCTCCTGCAGAGTGGCTGGTGAGGTCGAGCTGCAGACCTTTTGGTCAGCAGCCAAGCACTTAACCACTGCGCCACCAGGGCTTCATAGACGGGGACAGAAGGGGTGATTTATTCCTAGTACTGCCTGAGTTTTGCCTCATCAGCCCTGGAGGGGATGGTTTTATCTCCCCACAAATACCCTGAGGTCCGGTCCTGATTCTTCCTTCAGGTTATGGGATGTCAGAGTGCCTGGAAGGAGAGAAACTGTGCCTGCTGGGTGGGTCTCTGGAGGGAGAGACCGAGGCCAGCTCTGTGCACCTCCCATCAGTCCTCTTCTCTGCTAGTAATCATTTCAGTAGCTGTTGTCTGTTGAGTGCTTACCGTATGCCAGACGTTGCTGAGTGCTTCACATGCATTAGTGCGTGTAATCGTAAGAGACGGATATGATTGTTCTCCCATTTTCAAGATGAGGAAACTGAGCCCCAGGGAGGCCAAGCAACTTGCCTAAGGTCACAGAACTCAGTAAGTGGCAGAGCCAGACTTTGAGCACAGGCGGGTGGACTTCAGAGCTGTGCTCTTAACCTCTAAATCATACTGTCTCCCTCACCAAGACACCTCCATCACTCCTGGACCCCATGCCTCCACCGTGCCAGGGTTGGGATGAGTTCAGGAAGCTTTCCCCAGATATTTCTTCCCCCTTTGCAAGAAGCTCCATGATGTCCCAGGAGGCAGCTATTAGGGCAGTTTCTCAGTCACCATCTTGTATCAGATCCATTTGGAAGCTGGGGCCAGAGCTAAGAAGACATGACTTTCTCAGGATTCCCTTGGTTCCTGAGCCTCCTTCTATATATATGACTATGTTTGTAATTATTAGTGTTTATAGCACATTCTGGTGAATGTTTTCCTTTTTTCAGTGGGATTTCAGATCCATTATATGGAGTCTTTTTAATGGACTCCACGTCTATAGTTTGTAGTCAAGTGAAAAATCACTTAACTTTTACTCTATGCCCAGACTTGTATTAGGCAGGAATATTAGGATTATGAATAATGTATTTGAGAAAAGCATACCTGGGGCCAGTGAAAATAGGTTTCTTGAGCCACAGAGGGCCTCCAGGTGTGGTGGGATCATCCTAGAGAGGGTGGTCTCCACCTGGTTGGAGGCATCAACGGAAGAAAGACCCACTGCCTTGCTCATGATCCCACAGAGGGAGAGAGGGCCCCTGGAGATGCCCCCAGCCCACTCCATTGCCCTGCTGCATCATGTCAGGTGGGGCAGGTCCAGCAGGAGCGTCCCACACAGACCATCTTCCTCAGAGCAGTGGGTGATGGGCTCTGCCCTGGCATCTGGCTGCTCCTGTGTGGGAGGACGGGAAAGACCAAGCCCTGACCTCCCCCCCAGGCCCTTTCCCAGGCCAGGCCAACATGCATGACAGAATAGTGGACCGGGTGAGGCAGAAAGGCTCAGAGAGAGGAGACACACTGGTGAGGCCTACAGCCCTAGTGATCCTTGAGTCATAAAGGACAGAGACAAGGAAGAGGACATTCTCATCTTTCTGTTCCCTGCACCTACCCTGGGGCATGGCATGGAGGAGACCCCCACTGAGAATGAATGAATGAATGAATGAATGAATGCTAGAACCAGAAGGAAGCTTAGTGACCAAGGCCCTCCCTTCATTTTGTTCATAAAATAACAGGGGCTCAGAGAACACAAGTGACAGCCAAGGTCACACCGGTGGGAACCATTGGGTATTACACTACCCTGACCTTATTCTTTCCCCCTTTATTTCAGGGTCCCACCGGAAGACCTGGACTCCCGGTAAGCAGCTCTCCTTTGCATCTCTCTCCTGTGCTTTTTCTCGCTCTGAGGACTGGCTAAGTTGGTGGCTTCTTTTCGTCCAGGTGTGTCTGGATGAGAGTCTCTCTGGTCCAGAACTGAGGGAGAAGCCCACTGTCAGCCTCCTCCCCCTTTGAGATCTGGAGAGGCTGCAGCTCCTTGAGGCCCCTTCTGGGGGCTCAGTAGGTGGAGCACCCCACGCAGACCCCTCCAGCGCTGAAACTGACTGACTGACTGCCAGACTGATGGCCCTATAATGGGAGGCCAGGGGCAGGGGCAGGGCACTGTGTCTCCTCCTGCATACTGGCTAAGATAAGGCCACTGCCCCTCTCCCTGTGCCCCACATCAGAGAGTGGAGTCCAAGGCTTTGTTCTCCCCAGTTAGTGTTTCTAAAATCTGGAGCGCTTATGCCAGGTAACCGTAGGGACTTTGGGACGAAAGTAGAAAAAATAATAGCCTCTTTTTATGGAGACCTTACTGTGTGCCAGATACAATACTAATCAGTCTTCATTTGTTTGATTTGTTCAACAACTCAGTGAAATGGATATTATTATGCCCATTTTATAGATGAGGAAACTGAGATTCAGTTAAAGTACCCAATCCAAAGTCACCCTGCTGTTAAGTAAGCAGCTTCAGCTGTAGACCTGTTGGAGGGCCGTGTTATCACACACCATTCCATACTGCTGCTTCCTGTGGTCCATGCTCAACATTTCAGAGCCATCTTTGAAGTCTTCTAAGACATTGCTCTGTGGAGTCTGGCCTGGGGCAGAGATGAGTTGAGTATTGGAGACCTTGGGTCCTTGGATGGAGAGTGACTCAGGCAAGATGCTGAAGCCATCAGAGGGTGAGGCGTGGCACGGAGAGTGATCTGGGGCTGGTACCAGGCTGCTGTGTCTCCCTGCTCCAAAGACCACATCCACTGGCGTCCAGACCCTTCTGTGCATCCCTCTGACCCTCATTACTCCTCTTTTAGACATGAGTTATACTGTAACCTCTTAACTAATGCAGCAGCTTCTAGGATTCATGTCCAGTGGTGACTATCTTAATGAAATGCATGTGGGAGAATGTTTAGCCTTGAAAATGGAGACTCTTCTAGTAAGTACAAGCCCTGAAGCAAAGGGAGGACAACGAATTGGTCCCATGAAATCCAAGGAGGGGAGAAATCAGATGACTGAGATGAGCGTGGGCAGACTTTGTTTGCTCTGACCAAGTCCACCTTTAAAAAGCATTTAGGGGGCAATCTACAGCGCAAGGGGCCGCTGCACATAGTTTCCAGCCTCGTGACCGCTCCATGCCTGTCCCTAACCCAAGCATTTTATGACCAGGACTGCAAAGAACATTAGTTTTTAAAAAGAAAAGGAAACCAAAACACACATCCTGAAATATCATTCACCAGCCCCAGAGTGCGTGGACCATGTGGATGTCACAGCTGACGGCCGGCATGGCCTGGTGTTTTCAGCAGGAAGAAGAGACCAAGGATCCATGGTTCCTGGTCTTGTTCGTGCTCTGGGTGAAGGGACTTGGGAGGGACCCGTGACAAGACTGCTGATGTGTAAAGTGCAAGCAGGCTTATAAAATTCACTTGCCCGTGGCCGTGCTGGGTTTAATACCAGTAGATACGGCGTACTCAACCCTTATTAAGTGCCAGGTACTGGCGTAAGCTTTTTAGAGACATCATCTCATGGTATCTTCCACACAACCCCATGAGAGAGAAGCTCCCATTACCCCCATTTGACAGATGCTGATGCGTAGAGGGATTAAGGAAATTTTTAGCAATACTAGAATTCTCACCTTCCATGCGGGAGACCAGGGTTCGATTCCCATCCAACGCACCTCGTGTGCAACCACCACCTGTCTGTCAGCGGAAGCTTGCGTGTTGCTATGATGCTGAACAGGTTTCAGTAGAACTTCCAGACTAAGACTAGGAAGAAAGTCCTGGTGAGCTACTTCCGAAAATCAGCCAATGAAAACCCTATGGATCGCAGTGGTCTGGTCTGTAACTGATCATAGGGATGGCACAGGATGGGCAGCATTTCATTCCATTGCGCATGGAATCGCCATGAGTCAGTGCCCGCTCTGTGGCAGCCAACAACACCACACTGCTGTTACCCTGGCACTCTTCGCCAAGGGCAGAACGTCTTACTCAAGGACACCTTGATCTTGACAACGTACGTGTAGCAAGAGCCTAATTTCAGAGCTGATTGCTCTTCTGTGGTGCGTCCCTCACACATCTTGGATGCTAATTGTCCCTCAAGGCATTTTCTCATTGGGGTCAGCAGATATACAGAGTCACCCCAGAAATGCCCAGACGCTTTGGGGAAATCCAAGAAGCAGAAGCCAGCTCTGTCCTCCCCAGCAGGCTGGGGTGAACACTCTTCTTTCCTGCATCTGATTGCTTTCCATCCTCCCAGGCTTATAGCAAACCCCAAGCCCCACCCCGGATTTTATGATGTCTGCATGCGTATGATTGCAAAAAAATATTTTCAGCCCAAAGAGGGAGGAACACAACTTAATAAGCAGATTTCCAGAGTGAGAAGATGGAACCCCTGGCTACAAAACAAAGCAATTCCCCTGAACAGCTGCAACTCACGATTCAGATGAGTCCGCGTGGCTCTTGGCCCTTCCTGTCATGCTGGGGGTGGCCTAGGAGAAGGAGGAGTGGGAAGGACCCGTCAGTAGCTTTCTCAGACAGAGGGCCTGGGGGGAGGAGCAGAGCAGTGGGGGCACTGCTCCCCAGTTCTGACGGAGTGGGACCTGGGGAAGTGATTCACCCATCTGTCACATGGGAACTGCCAGTCGCCTTGCTCTGTGCCTTGCAGTTGAGCGTGACGGGGATGAGGCACATCCTGGTCATAGCTGAAATGGATTGCAACAACAGAAGGCTAAGGGAAAGTCTGTTGGACCGCCATGTGATACGCATGGGGAAACTGAGGCTCGGGCTGGGAACCAGACTCCTGCTTTAGTGCCCTTTCCCCAGCATCCTGCCCAAGCTCAGAGAGCGAGAGGGGTGACCACTTGCTGAACAATCAGGGGGGCCCCTTGGGGAAGCCCGCCCACACAACACTTGGGGATCGTGCGAGATGTCCCAACTGCCCGTGCGAAGTGGGCCTTGGGTGCACAGCCAGCCCATGGGGTCCTGCACATGCTGCCCAACTCCAGCCACATCTGACTGTTTGCCTCATTCATCAGGGAGACAAAGGTGCCATTGGGATGCCTGGACATGTGGTGAGTTGTGCATTTGTACCTGCCTGCGTGGTCACTGCTTGCTTCTCCACACCAGCCTGTCCTCCAAACTGTGGCAAGGCGCTGTCTGCCCCAGCCCCAAGAAGAGGGTCAGCACTCTCCCTCCCACTACCCCAGTCAGCTTCAGGGAGGATAGGAATGGAGAAGGGAAGAAGTTTATTCCAGCCCTTTAGACTTCACAATGTGGCTTTACTCTCCAGAGAGCTGTCCCAGCAAAGGACAGACCCAGGAAAGCTGCATGAATAAAGCTCTTTGCCAATCACCTGCTGGGTGACAGGGTGAGACCTGAGCCCTCTAGACACTGGAAGCTCCTCTTACATACCCCCTCACCCCAGATGGCAGTTCCTGCAACAATCCCCTAGCTTGAACAGCAAACGATGGAGAGAAATGCATTCTCAGAACTAGGGGTCAGTCTATGGGAACACTGGATTTGCTTTACAGATGCTGCTTTGGAGCCAGCATTTCAGGAGAATCCATGTTCTGTTGATGGAGACATGCTAGAACAAGATGGCAGCCACAGGGCTTGTTCCAGAGCCTCCACATCCAAAGGAGGAGCCTGAGATTTCAAATATTTAATGTTTCCTGTTGAAAAATTAAGATAGAGAAAGGGAAATGGGAATGCTTAATAGGGACAGTGTTTCCCAGAACGGGAAAGCCGCACTAGATCCCAAGGTCTTGGAATCAGGGTTTTTCCAGTGGCTTTGGGGTGATGGTCTCCAAGGGGCTAGAAAAGGCAATGCAGCAGCCTAGGGCAGTGTGACCACGTGGGGCCTCACCACCGCCTGGCCTGTTCCTTACAATTGAGCTCACGTGACGAGGCCTAGGATGTAGCCAAGGCTGCTCTCTGGTCTGATTCCTAACTCCACACTAGCCAGCAACCTCAACCCCCACCCTGGCTCCCCAGTGCCCCCTGAGCACTCCCATGCCATACGGCCATGTCACTCATGCTTTTCACCTCTAATCTCACCTCCTCGTCTGGGATTGGCTTTTGGTGTGTGAGTTTGCATGCCTGGGGTGGGCCCTGGTGCTCAGAGAGTGGGAAAAGGCATCCACATCATCGCTAACACGTGTGAGTGCTAACTGCCTGCTAAGAGCCTTACACCCGTTAGCTCATCAATCCTCACAAGAACTGCAGAGGTAGGCACAATTTCCATCCCCATTTTTCAGAATTGAAAACTGAGGCTCAGACATTAAGTGTCTTTCCTAAGGTCACATGGCCAGGAAGTAGTTGAGCAGGAATTTTAACCCAGGTAGCCTGACTCCAAAACCTGTGCTCTTGACCCTGACAACACTGTTCCCCACCCCTCAACCTGGTGATTGGCATCTTGGCTCTAAAGAAGATCTGATCCTTAAGGTGAACCCACAGAGCCTGGACCTGGGATATTTCAGAGGTTCAGAACAAGTGTCCCATGTCACAGAGCTTTGAACTGCCTCAAGCCCAGCCAGCACCCATCTGCCAAGGCTTGGAGGCTGGGCACCCTGGGCTGCCCCATGTAAAACCATCCCACCGCTTCCTAGCACACTGTGGAATCCCTGCCTGGCCCTGTTCCTCTGCTTTAATTCTCTAATTGAAAGCCCTGGATCCACCCTAGTGGCCATTCAGTCCTTCCCTGTACTTAGCAGGGAGACACTCACCAAGGGCTTGCTGTGTGGAGGCCTGAGTCCAGCATGGTCCCCACCACAGCCTCTGAGCCCAGGCTTTTGGGACCCTCTTCACCATGAGTCATAAATGACTCAGTGGCAACAGGTTTGAGTTTTTGGTGTTTATTTGTTTGTTTTTGTTAATGACAAAGCTGAGACTCAATGTGCCAAGACTGAGGTGGAGCTGGGCTTTGTACCCAAGCTGACTCTCAACCCCCAAGTCCCTGCTCCGAACAGGTAAGCTTCGGGAACCTGTCCACCCCAGTGCAGCTGCTGACCTGCAGGGAAGGCTGCACATGCAAACCAGTCCCTCCCAGCCTCCCACCTCCGCTCTTCTTCCTGGGCCCTGTGGGCATCTCCCCCTAGGAGCCTGGTTCTGACCCACAGTGGGGGCCTGGGGAGCTGCAGGAGGGCTTCCCATTTCTTTCCACACACAGCTATTTTCAAGCCATTTTGGGGCCTTCCGTGCTCCTGGTGCTATTTTAGATGTGACAGTGGGTCCATTTGGCTGCCCAGTAGGGGTCCTGGCATGTGCCATCTGATAAGGACTCCCTGGTGGTCAGTAGGTGTGAAGTGCTTGAGTTGCAGGGAAGGGTTTCAGGAGAGGTAGCCCACTGGCCTGTTTGAAGCAGGGTGGATGGGGGCTGTCAATGATCACTATGGTTACAAGGAAGGGACCCTTCTAGGGACGGATTAACCAGCAAGCAAGTTGTGCACGGGCTTACATTAAGCAAGGGCTTACTTGTGTTTACTTACTAATCAGTAGTGCACAATTTCACAAGGGTTTCACCACATCTTTGTAACTAAGCACAAGTAAGCCTGTGCATACCTTGCTTATTGGGTAATCTGAACCTGGACCCTTGGCAGAGCTACCCAGTTTCCTCTGCATCCCCAGCCCATCCTTCATGTGTCCTGCCTTCTGTCCACCCATGCTTCTCCATGCCCCTTTGTCCACCTTGGCAGCCCTAACAACTCCTGGCTTGTCTAGCTTGGCAAAGCTTTGTACTTGACAGTCAGCTGGACCCTCCTGCCTCATAGACTCCACCATCACAGCACAGCCCTTGGGAGAGTCTGTCCCGTCCCCACCCCACCTCTAGTTGACCCAGTCAGCTGAGGCCATGAATTTCCTGACTAGATGGGTTCTCTTTCTCTCCCTCTGTCTCTATCTCACACACACACACCTTCACATACACAGTCACACACATACATAGCACACACACGCACAAACTCATATACATTCACACTCATACACATTCACACATAGCACACCCACACGTTCACACAAAGCACACACATTCAGTCACACACGTACACACAGCACACATACACATTCACACACACATTCACCCACATACATTCACACTCACACACATTCATGCACACACATTCACAGTCATGCACACAGCACACATATGCACACATACATTCACAGTCACAGCACACACACACACACACACACACACACACACACACACACACGGCGGCGTCTTCCAGCCCCTGCCACTGTTTCTCTCTCAGTTATCTGGAATGGCAATAGCCTTCCACAAGCTGTGCTCAGTTGGCCACGGAGCCTGTCATATGTCAGCATCTGTGTTTTATTTCTTATTTCACGGTGATTTCTTTCGTTTGGTCATTGTGTCATTAATACGTACTCTTGTATTTGTGCCTCTCTCTCATCCTCTTTCTTTTTTCTCTCCCTCCCTCTCTCCTCTGCACCCTGTTGGCATGTGGCTGCCCCAGGGAGTAAAGGGCGAAGCAGGCGAGAAGGTGAGTCCACATTTTCCCCTTCAGCCCTTCAATCCCAGCCACCTCTTCGACATGGACTCTCAGGGGAAGGGCTTTCAGAGCCCCCCCACCCCCAGCCCTCCTCCCACCACCTGGGCCCCGTCAGAGCATGTAGGCTGGGCCGGCTCTTCTCTCACAGCCCCCCTCAGCTGATCTGTCAGGCTGGGCCTGCTCTTCCCTCCGAGCCCCTCTCAGCTGATCCATCAGGCTGCGCCTGCCCAGTTTCCTGACAGCTTCCATGCCATCCCATAGAAGTCTTGGGATTCCTGGGCGATGGTCCCAGCTTTCCTGGCTGGGTGGGTCTCCCTGGCCCAGCCATGGCTGCATGTGGCCTCGTGATTCTGACTTCCCAGCGTGGACAGACCCCCGCCCTAAGCCAGGAGCGCTCTCTTCTCTGTTCTGTGCAGCAGATTCTAACCTAGCCCCACTACTGGTGCCCTCGGACATAGAAACCTTATCTTTGCCCCACAGAGCACCCCTGGGGGAAAAGTTCCCAGGGTGGCTCCCAGGGTTGTAGAGTGGAGGGCCTGGGAAGAGACCTCTGTGAGCCATGAGCCAGCCAGAAGCCCAGAGGGCACCCTGGCACCTCAGCTCTGGAGGGTTCTTGAGAGATTTCAGAGAGCAGCACACCTAACTGGCTCACTTTACAGATGAAGAGACTGAGGCCCGGAGAAGGGCAGGGCTTGCCAAGGTCCCACAACAATAGTGAAAGGAGGGGCCGGAAGCCAGACCTCCTAGTGTCAGCTCCGTCCTTTTCTGGCTCCCTTGCTGCTTTGCCTGTACATTGCCGTGTGTATCTTTTCATTATATTCTTCCCATCTCCACAATAACAGCAGCAGCTGCTGTGTATTAAGCACAAACTGTCAGGCACAGGTTTACACTCAACACCAGTTGACACTCACACACCCTGCGAGGGAGGCTTCACTATTCCCATTTTACAGGAGGGGGAACTCAGGCACAGAGAGGCAAAGTCACGGACCCAAGGTCACCCAGCTAGAAAGTGGCAGAGCTCGAGAGGAGCCCAGGTGGTCTGACTCCAAGGATGGGCCCCTAACCACCAAGTACCACCCATAGAACGCATTGCCATCGAGTCAATTCCAACTCATAGTGACCCTGTAGCACAGAGTAGAACTGCCCCTAGGGTTTCCAAGGAGCGGCTGGTGGATTCGAACGGCTGACCTTTTAATTAGCAGCGCATCTCTTAACCACTGCACCACCAGGGCTGTCCCCTCAATGAAGGAAAAGTATCTGTCAGTCCCCCCATCACAGGGGCTAAATTGCCCTGGAGAAAGACATGTGGCACATCATTGTGTAAGGACAATAGCTAACACAGACACTTGCCAGCACCTTCCATGGACCAGGCATTGGTTTTTGTTTTTTTGTTTTTGGTTGGGGGTGGGTGGGTGTTGGCTTAGTAAATTAATATAATGTGAACACATTTTTAAGAAATAGACTTTTTAGAGCAGTTTTAGGTTTACAGAAAATTATGCAAAAAGTACAGAGTTCTCATAGACCCCTTCTACCCTCCGCTCATCGTCTCTCCTGTCATTAACCCCTTGCATTCCTGTGGTACCAGTCATTGTTTTAAACATGCTACATTACCTCATATAATTTTTGCATCCACCCCAGGAGATAGGTGCTATTGTCCTTGCACTCCAGATGAGGAAACTGAGGCACAGAGAAGTTAAGTAGCTTGGCCAAGGTCACATAGCAGAGCTGGACTTCAAACCCAAGCCTTGTGGCTCTAAAATCTGTGCTCTTAACCATTGTACACACTGCCTTATACAGTAAAATCTGCGAAAGCCAGAACCTGTATAAGGTGGAAACTTGTCGGAGAAGGAAAACTGAAATACTTTCCACTAAAACGAGTGGTAGAAAAGGGATAAGACTGTACCCTGTCAAAGGCGGAAGACTTCCGAGACCCAGGAAAACAAGGCAGTCCCATCAAGTTCCAGCTCTCATACGTTTCGCTGTATAAAAATGATTATATAGCTGCAACGGCATAAAGAGCTACTAATTTAAAATCACCCCTCACATGGGTGTGAAGCACCGCGTTTGACAAAATGTATTCATGCCCCTTGACCCTGAAGTTCAGCAGAGCAGCCCTCAGCGTCCTGATTTCATGTGGGCTTGGACAAGTGTCACAACTTACCTGATGTCTCCCAGTTAGCCAAATGGCAGAGCAAGACCTAGAACTCAGGGCCCTGGGCATTTTCACTCCCCTGCATGCCTCTGCAGGAGGAGTGGACTCCTGGTGGGACACAGCATCCTGCCGCTCCTTCCAGCAGGACACAGTCGCTGCCCTTCTGCCAGTGCTACATCTCACCCCCATCCAAGTCCCGTACATTCTTCATCCTCCTTCTTCCCTCCCCCACCCCCACTCAAGTGTTTATCTAGCTTTCTCAGCCACCCTCCAAAACTCCCTTTCAGCTCAGAGTCCAGCAGCCTCTACCATCCCCTTGGGGCTAGACGTTCTGCCCCAGCCCTAACCCCTCTGTGTCACTTGCAAACCAGGTCTAGGAAATCGAGGCCGCTTGAGCCATTCGGTTCCGGGCTGCTGGCCCACTTAGCAAGTGTGGTTCTTGGATCCCCACCCTCTGCTTCCAGCAGCTCCATCCACCGGGCAGATCACTTTCCAGCAGTGTCAGCAGTGGCAAGGGGTGCAGCCAGATGGAGATCTGGGGATGGGGTGGGGAGGAAAGCCTTGGACTCTTTGAAACTTGGGTGGGGCTGGGAGAGGTTGGAAAGCAGCCTGAGCAGGGCATGGGTTTGAGAGCTCTGGGGCCTCTGGCCGGGGCAGCCATTGCTGAGCTGAGCCTCCTCCCCTCCCCTTGCCCCCTTCTTACCCATCGTGTCAATGAATACCTGTTCTCCCTGCTTCCCCGGCCTGGGGTCACATCGCGCTGGATCCCACATCTGTGCTCTTGCTGACATCTCTTCTCTCTTCATTCCTACTGCTTTCCTGCTGTCCTTCTTGGACCTTCTGGAATGTTCCATGTGTTCTCCCTTTCTGTTTCCTCTCTTCTAACCCCTCATTGTCCTCCCCCTCCCCTGGCTTTGCATCTCACTGCCCTCCTGCTCCTCCTCCCTCACCCGCCAGCTCCTTTTCTTTCTCTCTCCTCTTTCCCCCTTCTCCTCTCCCCTCCTGCCCTGCCTGACTCTCCGCCCTCCCTCTCCTCTGTCTCTCTCCCCACAGGGTGCCCCAGGAGATGCTGGAATGTCCATCATTGGTCCAAGAGGCCCCCCTGTAAGTTGTTTTTGCTCTTCTTTGGAGTGGAGTAGGGGAATAGGCGAGTGAATGATAAGGCCTTGGGTGGGGGTGGGGAGAGTGAGTCCTGGCGGTCCCTCTAGGTGTGGTGGCCCCCTCCTGTGATATGGTCAGCTAGACCAGGTCACAGTGCTGCTGTTGATGTAAGAGAAAGTGGCCTGGCTAAATATACCTAAATTACAGCCTCTGGGGAGGGTTCAGAAGGGCCTACCCTCTAGCTACAAAGCTGCAGTAGCTGTGAGGCGGCCCTGTTATTTAGGGCGGAGGGGGAAGGTGCCCACTCCTCTCAGGAGAGGGTGCTCCAGCTTTGCTTACGGAAGGACCTGCCTTTGTTTCTGGATGCCCATGGAATGGACCCCCAAGTCCAGATTCCCTGACCCAGGCCTTTGCTCCAGGCCACCACTCACTCTCAAAATCTCCTTTTTGTGCTTAGCCCCGGGCCCTGTGTCTAGGTGTCTCCACCCAGTGACAGGAGCTTGGGAAATCAGTGAGCTTCCCCTCAGATATGGTTCCTTAGGGACAGGAAGGGGGATGTGGGTGGTGAAGCTGGGAAGATACTGTGGCTATGGGAAGGAGAACTGGTTGTTCTTCCCAAACAGTGCCCGGCCCATGGGCTTAAATAAAATCACCAAATATTGGAGCAGAAAGGACTCAGCAATTTTCTCGTCCAGGCCTCTGAGAAGGGGAAACTGAGGCCCAGAGAGGGGCAGTGGCTTGACAGGGTCCCCGTTTAGAGGCTAGGGCAGGGTTAGAACCCAGAACTCCTGGCCCCCAAGTCTTTAAGCCCAGCAGCAGGCATCTTCTCTGTGCTTTGCTGTGAACTTTTCCTGATCTGTGATGCCTTGTGAAGGGGAGGGGGGAGCAGATGGCTAGTCTCAGCCCCAGGGGTACCCCCCAGGGATCACCCAGTGTGAGCAGGGCATGCCTATGGCTCCAGAAGTGCATGCACTGGGGCCTGTCTCCTCTCCCATAACAAAGAATGGCGTCTTTGAATTGCTCTCCAAACGGGTTAAAGGACCCTCCCTGCTTATACCTCCTGGAAGTCTGAGGCTAGCCTGATGGACAGATGAAGGCCAACCTGCCCAGTTCCCCTTATTTCAACAGAGAGAGCCAGTGGGAAGCAGGAGTCTCTCCCACCCACAGTCCAGGGGGAGGAGTCAGAGAACAAATTGCTAAGTTAGGTCCAAAGGAAGCGGCCACAACTGAGCTAAGAAGTCAAGGGAGGAGCTGTGGTGAGTGCTGAGAAGTGGAGCTATACTGGGCTGCTGGGAGAGCTGGGGAAGGTAAGAGAGGGAAGCAGGAAGGAGCTGGAGAGCCAGAGGTGGCAGGCAGGTTGGGGCCTGGGCCAGAAGCAGCGTTTGAAAGGTCCTGGGCTTCTCAACAAGGTTTCCTCCGGGGGCTCAGGCCATAACAATAATGCTAAGGGCCGATGCTTAGTGAGCACTTATTACATGGCAGGGACATGTATTATCTCACTTAACCCTCACAAGAACCCCATGAGGTAGGTACTGTTATACCTCCATTTCACAGATGAGAAAACCCAGGCACAGCAAGGGTAAATGACTTGCCCAAAGTCACACAGCTAGAGTGTGGCCACGCTGGATTTGACTCCCCAAACCCAGGCAGTCCGGCTCAGAGTCTGCATTCTCAACTCCCACTGCTGCTGTCACACCCGGCCAGGCTGTGGCCTTGCTGTCATAGGGGCTCCTGGGCTCACATCACCCCGATGGGGGCCTCCTGTGTGTACTGGGGTCAGGGGAGCCACAGTGTGAATACTGAGTCCAGCTGTTCCTGACAAAGGTGTTGCCCAGTTGGGAAGGTCCCAGAGAAAGAAGACAGTCCCCCAAGTTCTAACATCGAGGACTGAGCCTAGGGGTGGAGCCCATTAGAGGGGAAGGAGGAACAAGCACAGATATAGGCCCTGTCTACCCCATCTCTGTCTGCCGCCCACTCTGAGCACAGACGTTTCCATTGTGTTTGTCTCGCGACCCCCCTAACAACCTTTCGTCAGCATCTTTCATCAGCATCATGTCAACATGCTACCTTAAGTTGTTGAAAAGGCCCCACTTTGGGAGAATGTTCTGAGGGTCTGTCACAGCGCCTCCTGGTTTCCGGCCCAGCATGTGTAAACTTAATCAGGAACATACCTATTGCTTTGGACTCGATTCCGATAGTGAAAATCACCTTCTATCCAGGTAACAATTAGTATTCCATCTCCTGGGCACCTAGCCCTGTGCCTGGCCCTGTGCTGAAAGCCAGTGTGCAAATGGGTCTCCTTCAGCCCTCCCAACAAAGCTGGGAGGCAAGCACCACCATCCTGTTTTACAGAGAAGCAAACTGAGGGTTTCATGACTTGCCTGTGGTCATGCAGCTAGTAAGTGCTGGAGCTTAGGTTTGGCCAGCTCTGTCTCATTCCAAACCCTGTATTCTTGCACTGACACCCCACTTCCATGCATTTAACTCTGCTGTTTATAAAGGATGTTTACCTTAAGGAAAAGAAATTCTCCCTTGAGTCTGTGTTGGTGCTAGGAGAGGTTTGATGGCACCAGGAGCCTTGAGCAAGCCCAGCATCCCCCAACTTTGGCCTGTGTGGGTGACCATCACCCAGATAGCTGGGGCCACCCCTGCTGAGCCCTTGCTAGATGGCAGGGGCAGCCCCCTCAGCGCCGCCTTGGAAGCCATCCTGAGCCAGGATAACAGAGGACAGGGAGGACAAAGGAGCCGTTTGTCATTAGGGGAAGAGGTCAAGTGGGGCCAGCCCTGGGAGGCCGGGATAATGGGGAACATGTGGCTTCCCACTTAGGCGGGAAGGGCCGGAATAAACGCTGCTAATCAGAGCCAGTCTGGCTGCTTTCAGGGGCCACCTGCCTTCTCTCTTGGAGCCCAATAAATGGTTCAGCAAAGGGGAAAGCCATCCCAGGCTCTTTGAAGGATGATGGTTCACATCCCAGTGAAGCAAGATACTGAAGCAGTGTGTCTGGGTCTGTTAACTTTTTAGGGAATCCCATTAAACCTAGGGGGATGCTGGGACCCCAAGACACTGCCTCCATCTCCATGGGGTCCATTCCCTCTCTGAGCTCCCAGCTTCTCTCCAGGGGCTAGGAGGAAGCCTCATCCACAACGATCACCCCATCCCAGGGAGATAAACCTGTTGAATGTTGCTGCATTTATTCATTCCATTAATATTTGTTAGGGACCTACTACACGCTAAGTGCTGGGTAGGCAATGAAAACCCAACAGAGGCATCCTTGCCCCTCCAGGCTCATAGTCTAGTCGGGGACCAGCAATTACATAAGCGGTTACAATGCAGACAGTAATGTTAGGATGGGGCGCTTACGGAGCTGAGGGAACATGGTGGAGGCATCTGAGTTGAGGTTGAGGGGCAGGCAGGAAAGGATGAGTAGAGGTTACCCAGGTAGCAGGCCTGGAGGAGCAAAGAGGACTAAAGGCAAGAGGGGCACTTATAAACTATTAGAGAAGGTGACGTCCTTTCTGGAGCAGAGCATGGGTGAGGTGGACAAGAGTTGAGGCTGGCAGTAAGCAAGGGCCTGGTCATGAAGGACCTTTTCCAAGATGCTCAGCAGTGGGACTTTATCCTGAGGGCAGTGGAGAGCCCTTGAGTTGTGTTAAGCTAGGAGTGACACGATTAGATTTGCAATTTTAAAAGATCACTTGATCCTCCCCCTCCTGTGGGGAGATGGTTTAGAAGAGGCTGCAGGTGGGGAGACCGGTTAGAAGGTACTTGCAGTAATCAAGGCCTGGACAGGAATAGAGTCCATGGGGATGGGTGGAAGGGATGGACTGGCAAAATACTTTAGAGGTCGAATTGACAAAATGATAAAATGAGGGTCTAGGGAGAGGGAGGAGTTCAAGATGTCCCCACATTTCTGCCTTAAGTAACAAGGTGGATGGTGGTGCCCCGCCCCAGAAGGAAGATTTTGGCAGGGGAGAGTTTAATTTGAACATGATGAGTTTACAATGTCTTTGTCATGTCCAAGTAGCGATGTCCACTTGCTGCTGGAAGGTAGGAGTGCATGGTTGCTGGAGCTGGCTCGCCCTGTCTCACGGGAGCAGATTATGCACATCTCCTGCCAACTCTGCATTCAGTGACATCACGTTGGTAGTTTGAAATCAGCCATGGGGGGAGTATTTACACCACAGAAATTGGCAAATGCTGTACAAAGCAGGGCTCTCCTCTCCCACCCTCCCCACTCGCAGCCAGTGGCTAAACATTTGCCACCACAGAGTCTTGTTTGAAAGATGATCAGCCCTGGCCTGAAGATGGGGAGGCAAGAGGAGGGCAGGCTGTGGACAGACACATGATAGTCCTCTTTGAGGAGCCAAGTAGGAGGGAAGGGAGACTTCCTGGCTGGATCTTCCCAACCAGAACTTCCCTGTATCCATGTTCCTTTACCCCACACAAGCTGCAGGTAGGGGGTCCTGTTGGGAAGTCTAGGAGGGATAGACATAGGGTCCACTTCCAGAAAGTGTGTATCCACTCGACTCCCTTGCTACCCAGGCCTTGAATTAAGGGAGGAGATTTCAGATATCAGTGTAAAGCTTATTTCTCTCGCTTTTGTATAGGAGGATGTAATATTAATCCATAAATTAATCTACTAAAAAAAAATCTGTAATCTACAAATTTAATGTGCTCCTAATCCCAGTGAATTTTCCATAGGGTTGGGAGTTTGACAAAATAATATTAAATTTCATTTAAAAAAAAAAAAAAGCTTGCGAGAATGTCAGAAAAATTCTAGAAATAGAGTAATGGGTATTATAAGAATAATGCAATTACTACAAACAAATGAATGGGACAGAACAGGGAGGCCAGAATTAAAGCTAAATGCATATGGGAATTTGATACATGAATGATAAGGGCTTCATTTCACAAGAGGAAAAGAAAGATGGATTGTTTAGGAAATGATGCTGGGCCAGCTAACTAGCTGTTTAGAAAAAGGTAAAGTAAGAAAAAGCTGAAAAAAATAAATAAAATCTCTGCCTCACTCATTATATCAGAATAAATGGCAAATAAATAAAATATTCAGATAGAAGCCATGGAACTATGAAAACACAAGGACCAAAAAATAAGTGAAGGTTTTATAACTCTGAACTAGGGGAGGCCCTTTGAAACAAGGCGCAAAACCCAGAAGCCATAAGAAAAGATTGACAAGTTTGTCTACATAGATGTAAAACTTCCATATGGCAGAAATCATACCATAAACAAAATCAAAGGCAAATGCCAACTTGGAAAGAAGATTTGCAACACGTGACAGTCAGTTATTAACAAAGAGCCTTACTCAAATCAATAAGAAAAAGGCAAACAACCTAGTAGAAAATATTGGTTAAGAGTACAGGCAGTTCACAAATAAATAGCACTGGGAAAAGATGTTCAACTGCACCGTATAACTGAAGAGAGGTAAATTAAAGTCCATTTCCAAGCCTCCCCAGTGCTTTACCCAGGCCCCACCTCTCCTGGGAGTAGAGTCCCAGTTTCCATTTGGTCAGCGATGGCATTCTCCCCAAGATCCCTGAAAACGCCCTGCTTAGCGCCGGATTTGGCCCTGGGTCGGAGAGATGCGTCCTGCTACCGGGCAGGATCTGTAATTAGAAAACCGCGTGGTTAGCCCTGCCATGTAAACACTGTCCGGAGCGGGACTTGAGGAAGTTTTTTGGAATTCTCTTCTCCTGACCTTTCCTCCAGGCCTCTCAGCGTTCAGAGCAGTCCAGAGTTTACACGGAGAGGTTTCAGAGGCTACACTGCACAGTTTCCGGGTTTTCTGCTTAGTGCTATTCTTAGTATCACTTACCCTTGAGAGGAGAGAAGCCCTGGGCCCTTCTGACATATGAGTGGCGCTCCTCTCTTTTGTCCTTTTGGCTGCCTGCCTTAAACCTGGCCTGAGCCAGCAGCAGACTCCAGCTTGCTCCTGGCCTGGCCAGTGCACCCACCCTAACGGCAGGGTCCCCATCCCACCCAGCCCGAGAGGCTGGCATGCTCCCTGAGCACAGGGCTGTAGGCACTCATGTCCACGGCTTCAAGGAGGACCTGAGCGGCCCGGAGATGTGTCAGGCTCACATCTGATGGATACAATTTTCCTCTGGATAGGATCTGATTCTAAAACTCTGCTGCTTGACAAGGACAAACCTCCATCGATCTGAGACTTACTGGGCAGAAAAGCAACCTTGCTTTATTTTTTTAGTCCATTTCAACAACAATCTGATGATAGGAGCTACCACTTCCTGAATACTTACAGCGTGCCAAGCAATACAGTTTACAAACATTTGTTGTTGTTGTTAGCCCCAGACTCATAGTGACCCAAAGCACCATGGGATCAGACCGTTAGGATTCATAGGGTTTTCACTGGCTGAGTTTTCAGAAAAATCTGGGTCTTTCTTCCTAGTCTGTCTTAGTCTGGAAGCTCCACTGACACCTGTTCAGCATCATAGCAACACACAAGCTTCCACTGACAGATGGGTGGTGGTTCGTTGGGCATGAGGTTCACTGGCTCATGGGTTCATTGGCCGGGTTCAAACCCGGGTCTCCCACATGGAAGTTGAGAATTCTACCACTGAGCCACCACTGTCCCCAACTTTACAGCTGTAATTGAATGTAATTCAATGACCCTATGTGGTTATACTGCTATGCTCATTCTGTAGATGAGGAAACTGAGAGCCAGAGAGGCAGGGCCACTTGCTCAGAGTCACACAGCCATCATTGGTGGAGCCAGGATTAGACTCAGTCTGCCAGACTGTAAAGCCCATCCTCATGAAGAGATTGTGACCCTCTCAGCCAAGGGGAGACTCCGAGACTAGAGCTGGACGTGTGGAAGGTGTCCAGGGAAAGGCAGTTGAGGGACCCGTATGCCTGAGCAAAGGATGGGTGGAAAGATGAGGCAGGAAAGGAAGCTATAATGGTTGATGGGGGCGAGATTGAGGGTGGCCTTGAATGATATGTGAGTAGAAGGGAGCCGTTGCTGCTGCTTGAGAAGAGAAGCGATGTGAGTCACATTTCTTAGATCTCTGTTGCCATTGACCTCCTGGTCAGCCCTCCCTGGCCTGGATCTTCACAGCCTCGTGCTGCTTCTGACCTCAGCACGTCGCTTTTGTCCTGGGTCTTGACCATCAACTGCTGAGCTGTGACCAGTGAGCCTGCTTCTAGTCTCCAGCTTCAGTAGCTATGTATTGCATTCTGAACCTCCAGGAAAATGGGCCTGAGTTGCTCTGCATCCCACAAAGACTGGGGGAATCCAGAGATTTCCCAACTGATCGGAGAAGCCTGCTGGCCAGGGTAGGAGGAAAGTGAGCAATCTGACCTCCTTTAGCCTGAAGACACCCATTCCAAAGGTCAAGTACTGGGCTGAGGTTCAGCTCTGCTGATGTCCAGGCCATCCTTAGATAAGTGGCCGGGAGCAATGATTAATGTGTAAGTAAAAAGGGCTTAGCGGGTCCTAGCCAGGAGTCTGGCGCGCTGGGAACTGGTGCCTGTGCTTGCCGTCCCATCTGTTTACATGCTGAGGTTCAGATTGTCCCTAGCAGTGGGGAGCTCTCCAGGGGCTACTTCCTTGGAAGACCCAAAAGACACTGGCCTTTTGCTTTTTCCTTTCCACCCCTAGTCACTGAAGGGGAATTCCCATCAATGTTCCATTTCTATCTTTGCCCCTCCCACTAGCTCACTGTGGTGTCTCCCGAGGGAAGCCACGGACCCTCTGGGAGCAGCAAAGAACCAGGGAACTAAAGATTAGCATCATCTTCTCCTCGCTCATCCTCACTCCTCTCCTGTTCTTTTCAGGGCCAGCCGGGCACGCGAGGTTTCCCTGGATTTCCGGTAAGTAGGGAGGACCCAGCCTAGCTGTGTCTCAGGCAGTCTCTGGACCTGGTTGAGTTAAACTTCATCCAAGGCCAGCCCTGAAGCTAGCCTTTCCCTTCCAAACCCAAGTCACGAAGGACCCTCTTCCACAGCCTTTCACAGAGAGCAACCAAGGAGAGTGCTTGGCTCATGGTGATAGAGAGGCCAGGAAAATAAATATGCAAATAAAGGGGACAGCGGGGCAGGGATCACACAGCCTTTAGGGCTACATGAAGTGAAGTCGCAGGCTGATAAAGGCCAGCATGACATAGGAATGTGGAACAGACGAGGCGGGGCAAGGAAGCCACCCACAGCCTGGCTTTGAGAGTGAGATCCAAGCCATGGATAAGGCGGTGGGGTGGCCCTCTGGATGCCCTTTGACCCCTGCCTAAGGGGCCTACTCCTAGCAACCCTATAGGGCAGAGTAGAACTGCCCATAGGGTTTCCAAGGAGCAGCTGGTGAATTTGAACTGCCGACCTTTTTGATTTGACGACAGTGGGTTTGGTTTGGTTTTTTGGACAGGCCCCAGGACAGGTTCTGAGAGGCAGGGTAGGGGGAGCAGCTAGTTCCCCTTTTCCCAGGCCTCAGTGCTAGCCAATCCCTGGTTTTCTCCACTGGGGTCTTTGGTATCCATGGTGACTGCCACCCACTGGGTTCTCCTCTGTGCCAGGCAGCCTGCATGCAGTGTTTCACTTCCTCTTCACAAGGACCCTTCTGGAAGGTCCAGTCATTCTCATCCCCGTTTTAGGATGGGAAATTGAGACTTAGATGCACCTACAACCACATAACCAGTAAGTGGATCAGTAGGAACTTTAACCCCAACTCACTGGAGTCCAGAGCACACACGCTTTGCCCCTGCTCCATGCTGTCTCCATGGCAGGAGTCCTGTGATGCTTGGTCTTTATATCTGTCTTCTTTCTGGTTTCAGGGTCCCATTGGCTTAGACGGCAAACCGGTAAGTGGACCCTCTCTCAGGCTGGGGGCTCCTCCCCTCAGTGGGTGCAGGCCACTGACCCTAGGTCTCTTGGTCCTTCTGCAAGACCCTGACTCCTTGGGAAGAACTTAGAATGAAATCTCCTGTCCTGGGGCAGAGTCACCACTCACAGGAAGGGGCAGAGGGGCTTTTTATTCCAGAGGTGCTTTTTGAGTGAGTGGCCCCCAACCCCAGCGGGCTTTCCCAGGTGCAAGCCCACAGCCTCTAAGCTGGGTTCCCAGCATCTGAAGCAATAGCCATCCCTAGAATCTGGTGATTCTGGGCTCTCCTGGAAGGGGCTAAGGTAGGGAGTAAGTCAAAGAGGCAGCAGAGAAAGTGGAGAGGTGGGTAACTCAACCAGTTCATTCTAGAAAGAGCCTGGACACTCATTCCCACACTGTCAGCTCTTGCTCCCGCATCGCCAAGGCACATCCTGTGTCTCCCATTCTCCTCACCCTCTGGCTCCCCAGTTGAGGCCCCTCACACTCAAGTCCCCATGGAGACTGCTTTTGCCTTCCTTAACAGCTCTCTTTGTCCATTTTAATCCTTCTGACTTAGTCCCCTGACACAAATGTTTACGGGGGGAAAACGAGACCCCCACCCCACCCCTGGGAAGGAGTAAGCCAAAGGAGATCTTGACCGCTCCAAAGCCCTGTGACATCTTTTCCTGACAGTGAATGTATTGGGTGGGTGCAATTC